TCACCCAATTTGAATAATATTGCATGAGTTCCTTGTTTTTCAATGCAGTGTAGTATTCCATTGTGTGAATATACCACAGCTTCTCTATCCATTGTTTGTTGATGGGTTGTTTCCAACTCCTTGCTGTTGTGAACAAAGCTCCAGTAAACATGGGTGTGACCTTTGTATTCTTGACGTTGAGCTGTAATCCAAACTGAAACCTGCAGTAAACGCCTCAAAGTCCTCCTTACTCTCAGACATCAAGATTACAACCTAGGAAAGCACTCGGGGCAGCTGGACTCTGCCCTACAGGGTCACCACAAGTCGGAACTGAGTTGGCAGCAAAAAATTCAGTGCAGATGTGTTTTGTTGTTGTTGTGAGTCGGTAAGTCGGAACCAACCAACTCATAACTGACCCTCTGACAGGTTTTCAGAGGCCTGGGAGGAGACTGCCCATCCTTCTCCCACAGAGCAGCTGGTGGATTTGAACTGGATGCCTTCAGGACTGCAGCACAGCTTCTTACCACTAGGCCACCAGAGCTTTTATATAGAAGACAAGGATGTCTTCTGAATGTCCTATAAATTGTCCAATGATTGAGTATTTTTCTCCAAATAAACTACACAAGAGTTTTGTTTTTAAAACTATGTTATAGAGCTGCTAGGGATCGGAATAGACTTGACTGCAATGAGTTTGTTTTATGTACCTTTATCACCTCTCAACATTGCCAACTCACACAAGTGACCAACTAGACAGTGGGCTTTTTAAAGCCACTGACCCAGTCTGCTCATCTGTGTATCTCAGTGCATGGCACACTAACCAGCATAGAGTTAAGTAAGTAAAATGTAAGTATAAATATAAAAATATAAGTAAATACATATAAATATGGAATCCAGTTTGGAAGTCGTCTGTAGCAGCCAGATTCTACAGAGGCTTGTTTGCTGGTTCTGAGGAGGATTAGGGTAGAATGTTGACTCGCTAATGGGTGTGAGATGATGTGATTTGGCCTCCTATTTAAAAACGCATTTGGGCCTGCCTGGCTTTAATTGTTTTTGGTCAAACATTCTTCTAAGTGGGATAGCACTGGTCTGTCCATTTGCTCTACAGAGGTAACTCATGGTTGCTGTGATGCTAAACACTGTGACACTGATGTGTCAAATGCAAGAATGGTTACCCATGGTGGACAGTATTTGGTGGAACTCCCCAATTAAAATAACCTTGGAAGCAGGAGTGGCATCCACTTGTGAAATGGCTTGCCTCCGGAAACTCTATGAATGTTGAGAAATGGTGAAAGTTATACAAGTTTCAGGTCTTTCATTCATAGGGTCGCTATGAGTTGTCTATGACTTGATGGCACTTAACAACAATAACATATATAAATATATAAATGAACACATTAATGAACAAATGATGTGATCTATATAGCATTGACTTAGAGCTATGGAAAGTAAGCAATATTAGGAGTAACCAGAAAAGAAGAAAAGACAGGAACTGGTAAACATTTTTTATAGGCTCAATAGAAGTTGAGAACTGTAGCAATCTGTTCACAGCAAAATTTTAGCCGAGAGCATATTCATTAGTATTTTTTCCAATTTACTTTATCAAGACTTTGATTTTTTGATGGTTTTGCTCTGACATAGACCTAAACCAATTGTTACCTACAGAAAAAAAAATTCCCTTATATTGGTAAACATAAAATTTATAACTGCCTTTAAGTCAAGCTAAGGAGATACACCAAAGTGCAACAAATAGCTGCCTATTCCTTTTTTCTAAATCTAAACTTATAGTCCTCAAACCCATCACAATAAAACATGGTTATATCAGATACTTGATTCATAAAATATCTAGTGGATTAACACACACATACACATATATAGATATAGATATAGATATAGATATAGATAAACTTGATACATAAAAATAGCTAGTGGGATAAACACTTCCTTTGCACAGAGTGTGTCTGAAATATTCTCTTTGGTACTCAAAGCTCTCTTAAAGGTCTAGAAAGTTTAGAGCAAGCACTAAAGCTGTCATTACAAAATAAAATCAGTTCTGCAGTCACATCCTTTACTTACCCAGTACGACTCTAAAATCCTCACCATCCAGGTGCAGTATCCACGTGTTGGTGGTTTTTGATCTGCTCTCCATATACTTTTTGAGGCTTTTCCCATTGATTTCTAGGGTATATTCATACGCAAATCCACTGACGGCATCTATGTTTATAGTCGCCTTTGTCTGGGCAGCCCCCACGTAGAAGGTTTCTTTGCCCACCAATTTGAACATCCACTCTCTCCTTATCTCCTCCTAAGCAGTGAAATGAGAAGGTTGAAAACCAATGCATGGAAGAAATATAAAAAATATAAACAAAAATAAATAAAATCATGTTAGAAACATCAAGTCATCAAAATCGTGCTACTTTGGCTATAGAACTGTGTTATTGCATGATGTTAATAAGGCTTGAGGAAAGAAAGACTCTTAAATGTAAACACCACAAATTATATGCTATGAATGCTGTAATTATTTTGCGCTACAAACAGTACAGAATAACTACTTTGCTTTCTGTATTCTTTGCAGGCCAAAACCAAAGAAAGAGTGTAAGAGAAAAGTGCTGAATTCACAGAAGAAAATGCCCCATGAATAATGTCAGGTTCTGTTTCATGTTTTACAAAGTAACATTTTTTCTTTTTCTCCTACCTTTCCATCTACATATACTACACGTTTGCCTGACGTGGTTCCATGTTCAAACTCAATCTTGTGGACTCCGTCACTTAAAGCAACCTCCCAAACAGCTACGAGATCCGTCATTTTTTCTAGGTTATAAGGAGACCTAAGGGAATAAAACAAAGGCATTACAATGTACCTTGTACAGCAAGCTAATAATTAATCCATGCAAGGTAAAAACAGTAACATTTTACATCCTAAATATTTCCAAATTATAAAACATAAACATGAAAGTGATAGGCAAAAAAAAAAATCTTAGCCACAATACCTATTTTACCCTCTCCCTTTAAGATACAAACTACTTATGGGTATATATAGATAGTCTGACAATTCCAAACAAAGCCACCTTAATATTAATAGGATTAACTAGCTAACAATCTATCAGTGTATCCTTAACAGTACTTTAGGATAGGCTGCCAAATAGTGCCCTGAAAGACAATTAAAAACAAAACAAAAACTTCTACATTTCCATCTGATTTAAAAGGTACAGGAAAAGGGGGGGGGGAACCCACCCAAAATAAAAAGCTCAGTATTTATTTTTCCTCCAGATCTGTTATTCTAGGACAAGAACTGGTTAAACTTTCTAATTTAAACTAACTACTTGGTATTTGTTTAGCGAAGAATACTGAGGAAAAATAGCTGTCATGTAAAGATATATCTTCATTTATTTCAAATAGAAGTGACACAAAGTAGTATTAGAGAAAATAGTGACTCTTTTTTAAACAAATTTTATTTTATTCTTTTTTGTGTGTACCGTCAAATCAGATCTGAATAGGAGGAGATTGCCCCTCCTTCTCCAGCAAAGCATCTGGTAGATTCGAACTGCATATCTCTGGGATTGCATTGCAGCTTCTTGCCATTAGGCCACCAGAGCTCACAAAAATATTGATTCTTGGCACCACCACAGGAAAGCTTGCCAGCCAAATGAAGGATTCTGGTTTGTAAAAAATTTTTGACACAATTAAACCATTTTTCTATCACTCTGTTGTTTTTATGTGCCATCAAGTTGGAATTGACCCATAGCTGACCCTCGAGTGGGTTTTTAGAGGCTGTAAATTACATGGGAGGAGACTGCTCATCCTTCTCTCGCGGAGTGCCACGTGGATTTGAACCACCGGCCTCTCTGTTGACAGCACAACTCCTTATTCCGTAGGCCATCAACGCTCTCTCATATTATTCTAAGATGTAATAGATTTTAGCTTTGAGAGAACATCTGTTAAGAGTAATAATTGGAACTGCTAACAGTTACTAAGTGTTTACTATGTGCCAGGTACTGGAGGGGTTCACACGCATTAATTCAAAGCGTCTTCATCACAAGGTGGGTGTTGTGATTATCCTTGCTTGTTAGACAAGGAAACTGAGGCTCAGAGAGGCATGTAATATGGTAGGGATGGGATTTAAACCCCAGACTCCAGACTCCATACCCTGTTCTACACAGACATCAGAAACTGGACACAATAAAAGGATGTGGGCATTCTGAAACAGTTGCCAGGGGCTCTGGGCTGAAAACATTTGGTGACTTCATATCCAGGTCACATGGACAAAAGGCCATGTTTAGATGGTAACAACCTCCATGCCTGGTCCTAAATCATAGTAAAACCAGAACTCTGCGTTATGTAATTTATTTATTTATTTTTTTAAAAAAAGATGTGTTCTGTGCAGAGTCACCTAGGTCAATCTCTCTTCTGAAAAATCACCATGGTCTTGAAAGTTTCCTAAGTTACTGTTAGGACAAACGCGAGACATTTTACCTTTCGTCATCTTCAAAGATAGGACTGTCCTCTCCAGATGCCATGACTGGCAAAACAGCCTTTAATCCAATTAGCAGCCAGGAAAGGGAGAGGAAAAAGCAGAATTGCAGCAAAGAAAGATTGAGAGCAACAAAGCTGACATCTACAGAAGGGTTTTCTAACTTTGCGTTTCAGCGCTGAAATTGCATGCAGTTTCCGGTGAAACATCTTTTACATACAACAGAATTGTAATCTCTAAACTTCAGGGGGGAAAGGTAAATCTTATTTTTCTATATAGGTTTAAATATTTTTTTTTAAAGTACATAGGGCTTATGCTAAGCATTAAAGCACAAAAGAGCTGGAACAAGATTAAAGAGTTTCTTAAGGTCTTAAGCATTTACTACTTAGGCCCAAGTACCCCAAGAGCATGAGAAAGTACACAAAACTCCAGGAAAAACCTGATGCATGCTCTGGGGGTGTCAATGGTACACAGTGATACAGAATTTAAAGTGCAATCTTCATATTGCATTTTAGAAAGTTAAGTGATGATGGTAGAGTATGATTTCTAAAATTGTCATGTCAAAGCGAGTTTGCATTTGATGAGTTTGAGAAGCTCGGGCCAGCTCAATTTAGTTCATTTACTCTTGCAGATGATGATGATGATTCCCCAAGTTATGAAGGCTTGCTCTGGGGTTGTCAGCAGGACCCAGGCCAGAACTGGAGCCCAGGACTCCCGTTCGATCAACTAAACAGGAGAAACTGGGCTGCAGTTGCTAAGTCAGTCTTACTAAAATTAGAAGCACATACGTATCCACATGCAAACAAAACCCTCCACATTGGAAGATTTGGGATTAACGGCTGTCACTATTTTGTGCTCGTCAGGTCTCTCCCTATAGGATCTGTGCTCTCGCTTGGGCCCGAGCCAAACCTCTTTGGCTGGAAACATCGATTGTGGGTTATGTACCTCTGAATCAGAACCGACTCCTAGCTGGGTCTTCAGAGGCTGTAAATTGTACAGAAAGACTCTTGGCCAACTTTCTCCTGCAGAGCAGCTAGTGGATTTGAACCACGTGCCTTGGAACTGGCAGCACGATTTATTACCACTGGGCCCCCAGCGTTCTCTCTAGAAAGAGCTCCTAGGCACAAATGGCTATAAATATTGTTAAACAAGTTGGAACTCACAAAAAGAGTCTAAAATTAAGTGTTTTACAAAGAAAAGGAGATAAAGATTCAAAGCACTTTATGCTCAAAATATTTTTAAAAGAGATTATAGCAGTACTAATTTGGGGATTTCTCTCATCTTAAGAAGCCCTATTATATCGCCTTTGGAAGTGGAGGGTGTCCTGACACCATAAAATGAAAGAGAACACAAAGGAAAGAGTAAGCAGCACAGATTACCAAAGCTTTGGTAAAACATCCTTTGTATATGAAAGTGCACTTATGGATGTCATTCAAATTCGGCTCCACCCCTTATCAGAGACTCCAAAAAAATTCAAACCTATAGCAACTGCCTGATACTTCACCTATTACAAATTCACACTGAGATAAGTCACGGTCCCACCTCAACTGGAATAACATTCATACAGAGGCATAAAAGATAAGACAGCAATAGTACAGAGAAGATCAAGATTACATTTTTGAAAAAGTTGTCTCCAAACTACCAACATTCATTCACACATTTTAAAACGATTTGCAAAATTTCTTTTTTTTCTCTTATGTACCATCGAATCAGATCTGACTGGCACACGAGGAGACTGCCCCTCCTTCTCCAGCGGAGTCTGGTGGGTTTGAACTGCACACCTTTGGGATTAAAGTGTAGCTTCTTTGCCACTAGGCCACCAGAGCTCCCTGTCTTCTTCTTTTTTTTTTTTAATTTTTTTTTTTAATTTCTTTATCACTGAGGTCGCTTAGTGCTTAACTTGCTGTGGTGTTGGCAGTTTGAATCCAACGGCTGCTCCTTGGAAGAAAGTCAGGCAGCCCCCCTGCCATAAAGCTTTATTGTTTCAGAAACCCAGTGGAGAGCTGCTAGGAGTCAGGCTCAACCTGACAGCAGAAAGCTTGAGTTTTGAGAATACATAATGGTCAGAATAAATGCTGATGCACTTATCTTGATAACCTGACATAATTAAAGTCACTGTATTAAATCTGATTCTTTTGCCCCCAATACAAATCATTATGCAATTATTAGCTTCTTTGTTTTTCTACAGCTGTTGTGAATGAAGAATAAAAAGTTGCTCTAACACGTAGTTGTATTTTCCAGGTTTGACCTGGAGAGGATGAAACCAAGCTGCTCCGTGGAGGTAAGGATTTTGAAGCTCCATACTTTGGGCATGTTGCCAGGAGGGACCAGTCCTTGGAGAGGGACACAATGCTTTGGAGGGTGGAGGGAAGGCACAGGAGAGGAAGACCCCAGATAAGATGGATTGACTCAGTGCCTGGGGGCAGGTGTGTTGGAGATAGGCAGGGTAGGGCAGGCTTCAGAGCTATTTTACATGGGGTCACTATGAGTTGTGGCTGACTTGATGGCACATGACAACAGCAGCCAAGTCACATCCACGACACACACACATAGCCGACAACATACAGTTTTCTAGGCAAAAGACTGAACTATTTTACCAATTGTTCCTGGGAAATTGACTAGCATATTTGACTTTCAAAGGCAACAATGCTTCCATTTCCCCCCAAATTTTATATCTTTTTCAAAGGCAGAAAAACATACTTTCTTTGCAAGGATTAGAGTGAGCACTAAACTGTAACAACCACAAACAAAATATCAAAGAGATTTTTCAGCACGGAGGTAGGAGAGAGGATCCCCATCAGATCACCTCATTTCTTTGCTTCTTTATGGAGAATAAGAGGAAAGGTGCACATCTCCAGATGCTAATTTCCTACCTCTAAACACATCAGCAGAGAACTGCCAGAAGTCCAGGCTGGGTTTAGAAGGGGTTGTGGTACTAGGGATATTGTAGCTAATGTTAGATGGATCTTAGCTGAAAGCAGGGAATACCAGAGGAATGTCTATCTGTGTTTCATTGACTATGCAAAGGCATTTGACTGTGTGGATCATAACAAACTGTGGCTAACACTGAGAAGAATGGGAATCCCAGAACACTTGATTGTGCTAATGAGAAACCTCTACTGGGACCAAGAGGCAGTTGTCAGAACAGAGCAAGGAAACACTGCATGGTTCAAAATTGGGAAGGGCGTACGCGGGGAATGTGTCCTGTCTCCATACCTTTTCAACCTGTATGCAGAGCAGATTATCCGGGAGGCTGGGCTCTATGAGGAGAAATGTGGGGTCAAGATTGGTGGAAGATCTATCAACAATCTGCGATATGCAGATGATACAACCCTGCTTGCTGAAACTAAGGAGGACCTGAAGCGCTTGCTGCAGAGGGTCAAGGATTGCAGCCTCCAATATGGATTGAGGCTCAATGTCAAGAAGACAAAGATTCTCACCACTGGACCAATTGGCAGCATCAGGATGGATGGTGAAGAGATTGAGATTGTTCACAGCTTTAGTTTGCTTGGCTCCATAGTCAACACTTTCGGCACAGTAGCCAGGAAATTAGAAGACGTATTGCCATGGGAAAGTCGGTTGTTAGGGACCTCTCCAAAGTACTGAAGAGCAATGGTGTCTCTTTGGAGACTAAGGTGCGTCTAGTACAGGCCATGGTCTTTGCTATCACTTGTTATGCATCAGAGAGTTGGACAATGACTAAGGAGGATAGAAGGAGAATTGATGCTTTTGACCTGTGGTGCTGGAGAAGATTTTGAGGGTACCATGGACTGCTAGGAAAACAAACAGATTCATCCTTGAAAGGGTCAAACTGGGCTGCTCCTTGGAGGCAAGGATTCTGAGGCTCTGTCTAACATACTTTGGACATGTTGCAAGGAGGGACAGGTCCTTGGAGAAGGACATAATACTTGGTAGGGTGGAGGGACAGTGCAGAAGGGGAAGGCCCCCTTTGAGGTGGATTGATTCAGTGATTGGAGTAATCGGGATGGGTGTATCGGAGATGGTGCGATTGGCACAGGACAGAGCAGAGTTTAGGGATGTTGTACATAGGGTCGCTATAAGTCACAAGCAACTCGATGGCACATAACAACAACAACAAGCAACAAAGGCTTTAGGGAGCTCCAGTGGCCTAGTGGCAAGAATCTGTGCTACAATCATAAAGGAACGCGGTTTGAGGCCCATCAGCTGCTCCAGGGGAGAAGAATGGGGAACCTCCTCCTGTGGGATTAACTGCCTCGGATCATCAGAGGGTCAGCTATGGGTCAGTTCTCACTTGATGGTACATAATAAAAACAACAGGTAATTTTAGGCTCTTCTTACGCATTCACTTTTCTAACAAGGCTGTGAATTGGCCAAGAATTCATCTGGAGTAAGAAAATGTTTCACATGTCCACCATAACTGTTGTCGTTGTTAGGTTCCTTGGAGTCGAGTATGACTCATAACGACCCTATGAACAGTCATTCTGAACCCTGCCCCATCCTGTGCCGTCGTCATCATCTCTGCCACACTAGAGCCTGTTCTGCAGTCACTGTGCCAATCCATCTAGTTAGGGGTCTTCCACTCATTCTCTGAGCCTCTGTCTTTCCAAGCATGGTGTCCTTTTCCAAGGAAGTACGAAAGGTAAAACTTGTGGCAAGAAGTTGCACTGCAATCCCACAGGTCTGCGGTTCGAATCCACCAGATGCTCTCTTAGAGAAGGAGGGACAATCTCCTCCTGTACCAGTCAGATCGGATTTGACAGCACACACACTGAAGAAATTTTTTATTTAAAAAAAGACGAAGCTTGGTCATCCTTGTCTCCAAAGAACTCGTATTCTCCATTAATAAATGCCGTCTACTTTTAAAGGAAAAATTGTCTAGAATTAACTCTGCCTCCTGCTTTGGGCTTCTCTTTTACCCCAGAAGTTTCACTATCTTGTAGCCTCTGTCACTTTAAAAGTAAACATCATTTCAAACTTTCAATAAGCCCTGTAAAATCTCAGCACTTAAAAAAATATAAATCCAGAATTATTTGTAAGACCTTGAAAGCATCAACAAAAGATAAAATAATTAA